AAAAATTGATTTACATCATTATTTGGATCATTTACCTACATATTGTTAACAAAATTCATAAGTTAGCATAACTTCCAAACATTGTTTACCTACATAGTGTTAGAATATTTTAAGGATATACTTACAAATTGTTTGAACCACTTATCAAATGCCGTATATACAGCATCTTGGCCAAATTGACCCACGAAGTGACTGTGACACATCAAATATTTTTAGTAATTGCATTGAGATGTAATCACAGTAAATTTTATATTTTGATAACTATTAAATCAATACTTACTTGAGAAATGGTACTACTTCGGGACAATTTAGCAACACATGAAGTGTAGCTGACTTGAACTCCATATCACTCAAATTTCTCTTTCTACCATCCTTAGAACATCGGCCTGGTTGATTGAATATGGACATAGGCGGATATAATGGATCATTCGTAAGGGCGACCGTGTGCCTGTTGGGCCTATTCCTAGCACATGGCACATTACTCTCAAAATAATAAGAACAAAAATGAGCAGTTTCCTTTGCAAGATAAGCTTCGCATATAGATCCTTCAATTCTATTCCTCTGCTTAACAAATTGTTTGCATTTGCCAATTGTCCTACATAATTTCAGGTTAGCCAAGAACATTCAAATAAAATAGAAAATTATATATGGACTATAATATTACCTCTCAAAGGGATACATCCATCTGCATTGAACAGGCCCTCCAAGTCGTGCCTCGTGTACAAGGTGGATTGGAAGGTGTTCCATCACATCAAAAAACCCACATGGAAATATCTTTTCCATCTTAGTAGAAGTTACACGAATGTTCTGATCCATCCGGAGTAGGTTTTCTTCCCTTAATGTGGAAGAACACAAGTCTTTGAAAAACAAACTAATCTCAGTGATAGGTTTCCAGATTCTTTCAGGCAAACCAGAAAACGCAATAGGCACTAAGGTCTCCATGAAAACATGACAGTCATGACTTTTCAAATGGCTCAACTTCCCTACCTCCATATCAACTTTTTTCCCAAAATTGGACGCATAACCCTCAGGCATCTTCAATTTCGTTACCCAATCACAAATCTGTCGTCTTTCCTCCAAAGTGAATGTGTAACTTGCTTTGGGCTTGAATAAGTTACCATTGTTTGCTGTCTGCAAGTGTAGTTCAGGCCGCCTGCAATATTCTTGTAAGTCCATTCTAGCATTCGGGTTATCCTTTGTCTTACCTTTAACATCCATCACTATGTTGAACAAATTGTCAAAATAATTCTTCTCAATATGCATGACATCAAGGTTGTGACGGAGAAGATTATCCTTCCAATAAGGCAACTCCCAAAATATACTCTGTTTGGTCCAATTATGAGTAACACCGTATCCGGGGAATCTATGCGGTGGAACTTCAGTAACTTTACTGAAGTTCTGGACCCTCTCCCAAATTTCATCACCTGAAAGTATCGGAGGTGGATAATCATATTCCAGTTTATTCTTTTTGAAAGCATTTTTCATTCTTCTAAACTCATGACCCTCAGGCAAGAATTGACGATGACAATCAAACCATGATTGCTTTCGGCCATGTTTCAAAGTGAACGCTTTACTATTTTCCATGCAGTAAGGACAAGCTAGCTTCCCAGCAGTCATCCACCCAGACAACATTCCATACGCAGGAAAATCATTAATTGTCCACATTAAATTAGCACGCAAATTGAAATTCTGCTTGGTTGATATGTCATATGTTTCAACACTATCGTACCACAATTGTTTTAGCTCATCAATCAAAGGTTGCAAATATAAATCTATCAAACTTTTCGGATTACGTGGACCGGGGATAATACAATTTAAGAATATATATGGACTAGTCATGCACAACTCGGGTGGTAGATTATAAGGTGTAAGAAAGACAGGCTAACATGAATACGGTATCGCAGATACAGAAAAAGGCGTGAAGCCATCCGCACACAGACCTAACCGAATGTTCCTTGGTTCACTAGCAAAATCTGGATATGTCCTATCAAAGTGCTTCCAAGCTTTTCCATCTGAAGGATGGCACATAACACCAGGTGGTCTTCTATTTTCAAAGTGCCATCTCATATGAGGAGCAGAACTCATCGACGCATATAACCTCTTTAGCCTAGGTATAAGAGGTAAATAATGTATCGCCTTGATAGCGACCATTTTCCCGCTGGAAAGCCTCTTGAAACGAGGCTTTCCGCAAAATTTACAAATGCTTAAATTTGCATCATCTTTATAATATAACATGTCATTGACGAAAGTCCTAACTTAGAAACTAATCTCTTTGCCTTATAGAAATCACCAGGTAATTCGATTTCCTCGCCAACTAGTTCACGCATAAGGTCAATGACAGAGTCCATGGATCCTTGAGAAATATTCCAATCAGATTTCATACTTAGTAATCTAACTGCAACAGACAACTCAGAGTGCGGACGACCTTCACGTAGTGGACGACTAGCTTCCTCTAACTGTTCATAAAAACGTTTTGCTTCATCATTAGGAGTTTGTTCAACATTTTCGTTGGGCTCACCCCCAAAGTGCATTCCAAAAGCATTCGCAACCATATCATGAATTCTGGAATCACTATTTCTATTCTCCCTCGACCTACTACTTTCACCAAGAACCATGTTATGAAATCCCATCGCTACCATCCATCTCTCCATGATAAGTCCACACAAAGTAATTCACTATAAACCCCTTCATATAAAGATGAACCTTAACTTCCTCCGGTTTTCCATCATACAATCGCACTTAACACAAGGGCACCTAATTACTCCTTCTTTTATGTATGGCGGAAGTGACATTGCATGTCTAATAAAGTCCTCAACCCCTTCTACAAAATCCTCCCGCAATCCCCGCTGATTAGGATAATTCCTATTGTACATCCAAGAACGATGTTCCATCTATTTAAATAAAGCAAGAACAAATTAAATTAGTTAATACATTAATAAACTCCTCCCTTTAAATCTTTTTTCTTATCTTATAAATGTATAATTCATAGTTTAAAGCATGAATTTAGGTACTCTTATTTAGGTATTGCTCCTCTTCTAAGACAATGAATTGTATCTTTTCACAATTGAACTCAATATAAGTAAAAAGCTAATAGGCAAAAAAGCAACCCTAATACTAAATAGTAAAAAGTTCATATTACCTAATGTAGTTCATATTAGCTAATAGTAAAAAGTTCATATTACCTAATGTAGTTCAAACAAATAACCCTAATGTAAAAAGTTCATATTACCTAATGTAGTTCAAACAAACAACCCTAATACTAAATAGGCAAAAACTCTAACAAATTACATAAAATTATATAGCAAAATTTAAAAATTAAAAAGCTAATAGGTAGATTACTAACATTGGTAGATTAAAAGGAGGCTAAAATCAGCTGGGGCGGCGGAACAGTGGTGGCGGCGTTGACAGTGGTGGTGGCGGCGTAACAGTGGTGGTGGCTGACAGTGGTGGTGGCGGCGTAACAGTGGTGGCGGCGGCGGTGACAGTGGTGGCAACGGGTGGGGGGGATTGATTTGTGTAAGGGAAATAGAGAAGGGGAGGAGAAATAGTTGAGAGAGAAGTTGGGAAATTTGTGTGAGAGAAAATAAGATTTTGGGAGGGGAAACCCGATTTTGAGTTTTGCAATTAAAAAAAGCGACCAAAGTCGGTCGCTATTTTGGTAGCTATATAAGTATTGACTGGTTTGACCAAAATAGCGACCAACGTTGGTCGCCTTTCTTGACCGTTTGACCAAAAAGCGACCAACTTTGGTCGCTATATTTGAAAATAAGTAAATAAAATAACCCTAATTTTTTTCCTGTTTTATATATATATATATATATTATATACTCAAAAGCGACCAAAGTTGGTCGCCTTTTGGTCAAACGGTCAAAAATAAGCTATATTCGATACGGTATTACCTAATACACTTATACTTAGTGCATAGTATAGCGTAAGTACATATATTATATATATATGAGCTATATTCGATACGCTATTACCTAATACACTTATACTTAGTGCATAATATAGCGTAAGTATATATATATTATATATATAGACACACACGCCCACTTCGTAGTACTATTCATCCCTTGTATTACAAAAGTATTAACGACTTATATTTATATTATTTACTATATATTATTTACATAGTAAATATAAAAGTGATTTTTAATTTTGACCATATAGAGACCAACTTTGGTCGCTAACTGTAAATGAATTTAATTTAGCGACCAAAGTTGGTCACTAACTGTACATGAATTTAATTTAGCGACCAAGTTTGGTCACTAAATTTTAATCAGATTTATTTATATTTTAAATAAAATTTAAATTAATAATAAAAATTATTAAATGTTTGAACTGGGTCCCACTTTTGCGACCAACATTGGTCTCTATTTAGTTAAGCGACCAACTTTGGTCGCTAACTTTTGAATTATATTTATTTATGTTTTATAATTTATTTTAAATAAATATATATTTATTAAAATATAATAACTGGATCCCGCTTTAGCGACCAATGTTGGTCGCTATCAACTTATCCTTCAGTTAGCGACCAACTTTGGTCGCAAGTTTTAAATTATATATATTTATATTTTATAAGTTTTATAAAATAATAATAAAATTATTAAAAAAATTTATGTGGGTCCCGCTTAAGCGACCACCATTGGTTGCTAATCTCAGTATATCTTTGACCAAACAAGTCTGACCAGTCCAGTCAACAGTTTGACTAAATTTGCGACCAAATAGCGTCCAACTTTGGTCGCTAAAGTATTTCAAATATTTTTTTTATTATTTTCGGCAGTTTGGCGACCAACTTTGGTCGCTTTTTTTGACAGACCAAATTTGATCGCTAATCTTTGGTCGCTTTTTACAGGGATTCTAGTAGTGATTTAGCTCCCATAAAACCCATGAAATTCTTGAAAATGTCTTTAATACCAACAAGTATTAGTCCTAGTAAACTCACGTCAACCTTTTTGAAAAAAAGAAAAAAAGTGATTTGCCATCAAGTGCGGCTAAAATAATCAACCAAAACCAAAAGAAATCTTTAAGCCCTCAAATATGGTGAGCAGAAACATGTAAACCATATTACTTGCTAGATTACAACCGAATTCGAAAAAGCCTAACAATTCACCTAATTAAATCTCTAGTAAGATATAAGAACTAGAGGACCAAAGAGACCATACGAAGGAATAATACTATCGTAGAAAAAACACAAAAAAAAAAACATAAAATAGGAAGTTCTGTATGATAGAAGGAATATCTCTAAGAAAAAGGCTCTATTTGAATGGGCCTTAGCGGCGGCGGCGACAGTGAGCTTTGCACATATGGATGCAATCATAAAAACAAGGACCACCACAATGAAGAGGACAATCCAAACGCATTCCTTTGCATCTTCCTTTAACCACGCATTGTGCAAATTCCCCTATCTTGTAATCTTGATTATTGTTCATATGCCATTGTCTATGATCTCTTACATTATTATGCTTTTTCTGTTTCCTACATCCCCATGCCCACCACCCACCCCCACCTCCTCCCCAACCCCATCCACCACTACCTCCTATACCCCCACCACTACCACCTCCTCCTTCTCGGCTGCCACCACCACCGCCTCCACCACCTCCTCCCTGGCCGCTACCATCACTTCCACCTCCACCTCCACCGCCACCTCCCCACCCGCGCCCACCCCCTCCACTGCCTCCTCCTCCTCCTCCTCCGCGTCCGTCCTTTTTATCGATAACGTCGTGAGTAATGTTGTAGGTATTATTGGCCATTGTTGGAGCTTGAGCAATATTACTTCCATCTACACTTTCATCACCTCTCAAACTCATCACAAACATAAAAATGAACAACAAAAACATTAACAAACTTTGTCTCGGACTGCAATTGATCTCCATTGTTGATTTACTTGATTAAGATTCGAGTAATTTTGTCTTCCTTTTATAGTTGTTCGTAGGAGTGGACAAAGACACTTGAATATTGAACATATTTTACGTACCTACTTGTCTTGTTCTAGTCATGTTGAAGCTATCTAACGAACTATCAGTGAGAAATAAATATAGTATTTCTTAAATACACAGAGAATTTATTGCCTTAGGTTTTACTCTGTCCCCACAACAACAAATGAAAGGCTGGGACTCATTCATGGCTTGCTTGAAAAGGTAAGGCAACTCATCAATGAAGATCCTGGTACTTATTTTAATACACACATAGAATGACCAAAAGATTTTTAAGGATTTAGGGACTGATGAGGTTTTATCAATGGAGCCCACTAGTTTCATGTTTGTTCAAGTACTTGTAGTTGGTTGGCTGCATATAAGCCTAACAACAGTAGTGGCTTGTGGGAAATTGCTCGGGCGCAAGCAGCCAAGATTTGACGTTTATGAGTTTGGAATTTTAAATTATTAGATTTTAATTTAATAATTTATACATTTTCAATAGATTTCTTAAGATAAATATAGAGTTTATACAAAAGCTACTGGGTTCGGCCGGCTCGGCTATATATATATATATGCTGTAATGGTGATTTTAAAACATTATTTTATGTGATAAATTGATATTTATTTAATATTATTTTCCATATTGTACTTTAAATTTCAAGCTGTTGAGGTTTAAGGGAAGAGACAATTGGCCCTAGGGATTTCAAAAGTTACCAATAAATACCATTTTAAAAAGTATTAGGACGCACCTTTTTGTTGTTCTATTTATAAAGTTGAAAGGGCATTAAAACCATGAAAGGTTGTCAAAAGAGAAAAAGATTATTTGCAATGAAATCCCTTGAAGTTGAAAAGTTGGAAATTGACTACACACTTTTATGGACATCCCAAGTTTGAGCAGGTTGGGATGGACAAATTTTCATGGCAAGTCAATTTGGACACAACCCGAGTGAACCCATCTAAACGTTATGGTGATGTAGGCTAAATATACACCAAATTGACACACAAGAAAACTTGTTAAAATATTTAAAAAGAAAAATATTATTCCCCTTCGTTTTGGTAGAGTTAGCAGGGCCCCAATAAATTACAGTGCCTTTCATGGAACAATGATGAACAATTGTAAACCAAGGTTATTTTCAATTAAATGAATTGAATACCTGATTGGGTTTACGAGGCATCTGGAATCGGGAATCGTTGTTACCAGTTTGAGTACCAATAAAAACATTTGTAACCAACAGACTATTAGGTTTAGATTTGCAATAGCTCTAATGAATACAAGAAAGGAAAGAAAATCAGACAGGCACATTAGAGGAAGCCAACGACTATGTTATTCAAACTCCATACCAAATGGAAAAAGAATCAATCAAACAAGCAACAAGGAAGGAAAGACAATCAATCAGATGAGCTAAAGATTCTCAAGCGTGCAAGGAAGGAAAGAGAGCCAATCAAGGAAAGATAGTCAATCAAGGAAAATCCGCGGAAGCTCTAAACAAGGTTAATTGGAGGAGCCAAAACTTCAAATTGAGAATGAATCTGGCAACACCTCTCAAGCCAGACTCATTAGGCTACCCCTGGGTCCTACTCTTAGAAGTCTATGCCTCACATGGAAAGACCTCCAATCAATGATCTTTTTCTATCCTAGAAAAGAGAAATCAGAAGACTCATTGAGCACTATTAAAGAAGAAGTAGAAGGACAAGGAAGCTTACGCAACTTAACATATGTTTCTATACCTTTCTAGTTCTTAGTACAAACACTGTATTCTTGAGTCTACAAGTGTCGCAAAAGATAGGACGAGTTAGAAAACAAAACAAGAGTTGTGTCAACACTAGATAAACATTGTTGTTGAATATCGTTGGTGGTGAACGCACTAAAACCATCACTGTTGTAAAGACTTATTGAAGATCTAGGAGAACCCTTGTGAATCAAGGGAACTGGACATAGGTACCATACCGGTACTAAACCAGTATAAAATTATTGTGCCTCATTTATTTTTCTTTCTACACCATTTATTTCTGCTACAATTGATCCTACTATGAAGTTTAGTCGACTAATTCATTTCTAGTCAACTAAGTTATAAATTGGTTACAATTCACCCCCCTATTATACTTTCAATTGGTATCAGAGCAAGGACTCATAAATATTGCCTGACACCATTTGAGGAAAAGACATGGCAACAAACACAGTCGTTGGAGAATTATTCCAAGAAGGAACTTCTCAGGTGCAACCTCCTTACTTCAATGGCCAGCACTTCTCACACTGGAAAGTGCGTATGAAACCTACCTTATGTCATATGATATTAAGGTGTGTCGTGTGATCAAAAAGGGAAATCCTCCAGCTCTGCCAAAGAAGGACAAAGACGGTGAGATCATAGTATCATCTGATCCTCTTGATTTAGATGAGTACACTGAAGAATAAGCAGCTATTATCCAAGTGAATGCCAAGGCAAAAAGTCTCATCTATAATGCCATAAGCTGTAAGGCTCTGTAAAAAAAATCACCTAAAACTCGGGGTTTCGTGGTGCCGAGGTAGGCTAATATGATTGAGGATTGTAGAGATTCTTCACAGCTCGCAAGCTCACCGCGGTACGAACTTTTTGGGTCGTACAACGGTTGGGGATTTGAAGAAATGATTTTTCAAAACATGGCATTTCTGCAGTCCACTAAGCGATCGCAGAACCATTTTGTGGGCCACATATCGGTCGTGGAGTGAAGCAGAACTTGAACCAAATTTGAGGATGATTATGCGACCACATAAACATTTCGCAGGCTGCACAATCCATCGTAGAACCAGCACGAAGATTTTCAAAGGGAAATTCTGTGGCGAGAGGATAGAGACCCGCAAATTGAAGAATAGAATGGAGCGAGAGGATAGTAATAAGGCCCGGTTCGCGTGCAACTTTGGTGGTTCTTCTGGTGGTGGTGGTGGTGGTAGGTCGTCATTGGGGCCATCCTAGTCCTTTGCTCAGTCTTCAGTCAATGCATAACCATCAGGGTCCAGTCAGTAGCAGTGGAACCATTTCAGGCCCTTAAAGGGCAACATGGGATCCTACCAGCAGGTCGGCATGGAGGGAGATTCCAGCAGCAGCGGAGGCCCCTATGCCTAGGTGTGGAAAGATGCACTTAGGAATCTGCTACATGGAACTACCCATATGCTATGGGTGCGGATTGAGGGGTCACATTCAGAGGGATTGATGTTCGTCCCCCCGAGTTATGGGCAGGGGCACAACACAGCCAACTAGTTTTGCAGTTACTACATCCGCAACCCCTCTTCCATCTCGAGGCACTCCAGCACCCGCAGGGCGTGGTGCAGCTAGGGTTGGAGCATAGTGTTAGGGAGGATCCAACCGTTTCTATGCTTTGACGGTTGCCAGAGATCAGAGGCTTCTCCAAATGTTGTCCCAACTATATTGACTGTCCAATCTCATGATGTATATGCCCTTATTGATACCGTTCCCCTTTGTTATATGTCACTCCTTATGTTGCTATGGAATTTGGGATAGAACCGGAACAACTTCATGAGTCGTTCTCTATATCTACTCTGGTTGGTGAGTCTATTATGGCCGCGCGGGTTTATAGGGATTGCGTTTCCACGGTGCATGGTCGGGACACCATGATTGAACTCATTGAATTGGGAACGGTTGATTAAGATGTAAAAATAGGGATGGACTGGCTTTATTCATGTTTTTCCAAGCTTGATTGCCGAACCAGAACCGTTAGGTTTGAATTTCCAAATGAGTCAGCTATTGAATGGAAGGGGGATGATATGGTGCCGAAGGGTAGATTTATTACCTATCTTAAGGGCACGAAGATGATCAACAAGGGGTGTATTTACCATTTGGTCTGGGTTATGGACATCGATATTGAGGCACCTACATTTGACTCTATGTCTGTTGTAAATGAATTTCCGGAGGTCTTTTCTGATGAGCTCCCTGGTATCGCACCAGACAGGGAGATTGATTTTGGGATTGATGTGATGCCAGCCACACAGCCTAAATCTATTCCTCCCTACAGAATGGCACTGGCAGAATTAAAGGAGCAGTTGAAGGATTTGATAGAAAAGGGCTTTATCCGTCCAAGTGTGTCGCCTTAGGGCGCACCGGTCTTGTTGGTAAGGAAGAAAGATGGGTCACTGAGAATGTGTATTGACCATCGGTAGCTCAACAAGGCCATGATCAAGAATAAGTACCCATTTCCAAGGATAGATGACTTGTTTGACCAACTGCAGGGTGCTAAGTACTTCTCCAAAATTGATTTGAGATCTGGGTATCATTAAATGAAGATCAGGGAGCAGGATGTTACGAAAACAAATGCCCCGGAAACTTTCATGGATCGTATGAATCGAGTCTTCAAGCCTTTCCTCGACTCCTTTGTGATAGTGTTCATTGACGATATTCTTGTATATTCACGAAGTCGAGAGGAACATGCCGATCATCTTAGGGAAGTTCTGTAGACTCTATGTCAGCACAAGTTGTATGCAAAGTTTTCAAAGTGTGAATTTTGGCTTGGAATTATGATTATAGGCTGTTTATGTTGAACATGGAATCTGTTATCAATTGTTTCCTGATTCATGTTTATTGTTGCACATACTGGTCCACGTCTGGACAGCTTCACCCATCAGAACTGGGCCAAACCTCTAAGGCCCAAAAAATTGTTATAAGTCAAAACCTTTTAAAAATTACATTAGGAATATGGGGGATTAATTTGCAATATAAATTTAGGTTTTCGAGTTAGGTAGCGGGTTCAAATTAAGAGGGTCTTCCCTTTTGTTTGAATTCGGACTTGAACTCGAGGCCCGAATTTATAAATGCAAATTAATTAAGCCTTTTTTTAGAGACAAAAAATAAATAGAAAATCTTAGTTTGTTTTAGGTTGGCCTTTAAATATAAATAAGATGAGCCTCGCCAAACCAAAATGCACAAATTGCGGGGCCCTCATTAATTGCTTAAAAATACTTAGCATTT